CCCCTGCCACAGCCAGGGCCATAGAGAAGGAGCGCAGACTGGTGTCTCTCTACTGTAAAGAACAAACACAGAGCCCCCTGCTGGAGCCAGGACCACTGACAGTGTCGAGCCCCCTGCAGTGTCCATTGCCACCATAGAGAGCGGGCGCAGAGGCCTACCAGAGCCAGGATCATAGAGAGCCAGTACAGAGCAGCCCCTTCGTACCATAGAGAGCCAGTGCAGAGCCCCTGCTAGAGCCAGAACTGCGGGCGGGGGCGGGGGCGGGCGCTTGCTCTCCATGGTCCTAGCTCGGGCAGGGCGCTCTGCTCTGGCTCTCCATGTGCCACAGGCAAGCGCTGCCTTCACACTCTACAGCCCTGGCTCCGGGGGGTGCGCTGCGCTCCCTGTCTATGGAACAGAGCTGGGACTCTGGAGGGAGAGCGCAGAGCTCCCCACCGGCGCCGATCCCATAGAGAGAGAGCGCAGAGCTCCCCACCGGCGCCGATCCCATAGAGAGAGAGCGCAGAGCTCCCCACCGGCGCCGATCCCATAGAGAGAGAGCGCAGAGCTCCCCACCGGCGCCGATCCCATAGAGAGAGAGCGCAGAGCTCCCCACCGGCGCCGATCCCATAGAGAGAGAGCGCAGAGCTCCCCACCGGCGCCGATCCCATAGAGAGAGAGCGCAGAGCTCCCCACCGGCGCCGATCCCATAGAGAGAGAGCGCAGAGCTCCCCACCGGCGCCGATCCCATAGAGAGAGAGCGCAGAGCTCCCCACCGGCGCCGATCCCATAGAGAGAGAGCGCAGAGCTCCCCACCGGCGCCGATCCCATAGAGAGAGAGCGCAGAGCTCCCCACCGGCGCCGATCCCATAGAGAGAGAGCGCAGAGCTCCCCACCGGCGCCGATCCCATAGAGAGAGAGCGCAGAGCTCCCCACCGGCGCCGATCCCATAGAGAGAGAGCGCAGAGCTCCCCACCGGCGCCGATCCCATAGAGAGAGAGCGCAGAGCTCCCCACCGGCGCCGATCCCATAGAGAGAGAGCGCAGAGCTCCCCACCGGCGCCGATCCCATAGAGAGAGAGCGCAGAGCTCCCCACCGGCGCCGATCCCATAGAGAGAGAGCGCAGAGCTCCCCACCGGCGCCGATCCCATAGAGAGAGAGCGCAGAGCTCCCCACCGGCGCCGATCCCATAGAGAGAGAGCGCAGAGCTCCCCACCGGCGCCGATCCCATAGAGAGAGAGCGCAGAGCTCCCCACCGGCGCCGATCCCATAGAGAGAGAGCGCAGAGCTCCCCACCGGCGCCGATCCCATAGAGAGAGAGCGCAGAGCTCCCCACCGGCGCCGATCCCATAGAGAGAGAGCGCAGAGCTCCCCACCGGCGCCGATCCCATAGAGAGAGAGCGCAGAGCTCCCCACCGGCGCCGATCCCATAGAGAGAGAGCGCAGAGCTCCCCACCGGCGCCGATCCCATAGAGAGAGAGCGCAGAGCTCCCCACCGGCGCCGATCCCATAGAGAGAGAGCGCAGAGCTCCCCACCGGCGCCGATCCCATAGAGAGAGAGCGCAGAGCTCCCCACCGGCGCCGATCCCATAGAGAGAGAGCGCAGAGCTCCCCACCGGCGCCGATCCCATAGAGAGAGAGCGCAGAGCTCCCCACCGGCGCCGATCCCATAGAGAGAGAGCGCAGAGCTCCCCACCGGCGCCGATCCCATAGAGAGAGAGCGCAGAGCTCCCCACCGGCGCCGATCCCATAGAGAGAGAGCGCAGAGCTCCCCACCGGCGCCGATCCCATAGAGAGAGAGCGCAGAGCTCCCCACCGGCGCCGATCCCATAGAGAGAGAGCGCAGAGCTCCCCACCGGCGCCGATCCCATAGAGAGAGAGCGCAGAGCTCCCCACCGGCGCCGATCCCATAGAGAGAGAGCGCAGAGCTCCCCACCGGCGCCGATCCCATAGAGAGAGAGCGCAGAGCTCCCCACCGGCGCCGATCCCATAGAGAGAGAGCGCAGAGCTCCCCACCGGCGCCGATCCCATAGAGAGAGAGCGCAGAGCTCCCCACCGGCGCCGATCCCATAGAGAGAGAGCGCAGAGCTCCCCACCGGCGCCGATCCCATAGAGAGAGAGCGCAGAGCTCCCCACCGGCGCCGATCCCATAGAGAGAGAGCGCAGAGCTCCCCACCGGCGCCGATCCCATAGAGAGAGAGCGCAGAGCTCCCCACCGGCGCCGATCCCATAGAGAGAGAGCGCAGAGCTCCCCACCGGCGCCGATCCCATAGAGAGAGAGCGCAGAGCTCCCCACCGGCGCCGATCCCATAGAGAGAGAGCGCAGAGCTCCCCACCGGCGCCGATCCCATAGAGAGAGAGCGCAGAGCTCCCCACCGGCGCCGATCCCATAGAGAGAGAGCGCAGAGCTCCCCACCGGCGCCGATCCCATAGAGAGAGAGCGCAGAGCTCCCCACCGGCGCCGATCCCATAGAGAGAGAGCGCAGAGCTCCCCACCGGCGCCGATCAGCCGACAAACAGCTGATTAGCTGTTTGTCGGCTCAGCGCAGCAGCCTGGCAGCCATGTAAATTTAAATGAAGCGGCGATTATTTAAATCGCCGCTTCATTTCCCTTTGCCTATAACCCTCATCTATATGGCTCCGTCGATGGAGCCATGTAGTCTAGACACAGCCATAGACAACACACACAGAGCATCCTACCAGAGCCAGGTCCACTGAAAGCGATTTGCAGAGGGACCCAGCACAACAGTGCCTTTCTCTATCATAGAGAGTGACTGCAGTGAGCCCCACCACACCAAGCCCCTTGGAGACAGAGCACAGCCATGTCTTGGCACCACGGAGAGGGAAGGCAGAGCACCCCCTTGACATCAAAGATAGGTTGTGCAGTGCAGTCCACTAGAGCTAGGACCATGGAGAGCAAGTGAAGAGCTGTGCTTCTGCAATATAGCAAGTAAGCACAGAGCATCCCACCATGGCCATGGAGACTGTGCGCCATGGAGTGCAAATGTAACCACCACCAGGCGGATTTGAACCTGGGATCTCTGAAGCAGAGTATAGGAGCCTCTACCCTCTGAGCTAAAAGCCAACTGACTCCCAGCCCATGCTGTAGAGGTCTCTTGATCTGAACTGTTGCTGTGGTCTAGGTACCACTTGCATTGCTCAGTAACTACACTAGGTGTGTGAGTTACACAATCACAGATCTGCCCCACGGCACCATGGAGAGCAAGTGCAGAGCATCCGAGCAGAGCCAAGACCATGGAGAGAGCACCTAGCAGCCAATCTCTTCCATAAAGCACGAGTGCAGAGCCAGGGGCAGATGACCATTTTGCGGGGC